GTAAGTTGCCCTTGCACATCCAATAGGTTTATATTCTTAATTAACATCCGATGACTACGTCTGAGGTCTATCGTGGGCCCCAGAACGGGGTCTTGAACCACGCCGGGGCCAGTGAATTAACCCTGGCCCGATTACGCTTTCCTGATACTCGTGATGAAGAAGAAGATAGTAGAAGAAGTTGACACAATCGTTTACTTCAGAGCTCAACCACGTTGGTGTCGTTGTGTCGTGGGTGGCATTTGCGCGTGTGTATTTACACCTCGGATGCGTAATTTAAATTAATCCAGGATAGACGTTCGTGCGAATGAAGGAGTAGTTGAGGATCCGCGCGGCTGGCGACATGCTGCGTAAAGGGGAACCCTGTGTCGGAGGCTGGGGTGATCGGATTAGCGAGTGTGAATCAACGCTATTCACCGCAGGTCTAAGATTTCTTGCCCAAATCTCAGTTTTCATAGATTGTTTACATTCTTATGCATTCGGTCCATTAAAATATCCTCCTTCGCCGTTTGATAATGGGGATTTTCTCTTCCCTAAAAAGGTGTTGCTTGAAATTCTTCGCTTAGCGGCTTTAAGTCGGGAAAAACGGGGCATTTCGGTGACCGTGGCTCCGTTTCCAGGGCGTTTTATTGCCCATAGATAAGTCGATAAATCTGCGTCTCAGCACGACTGCAGCGTGAACGGGTTCGTTCAGTGCCTCGTTCCCTCCTTCGAAATCTCGAACGTTTTTTTTCCGGCAAAACTGTTGGTGTTTGTTTACTTGTCAGCCGTCGGTTTGTGTTGACCCACTTTAGCGACAAGTGATTAGACACGCAGTGCCACGTTGGATATCGTTTGGTCAGTAGATGAACGAATGTCCAAGCAAGTTCGCTCTATGTTGTTTAAGGAAGTAAAATCGATAAAGGGCTTTTAATCGATTTTACCCCTATCATGACGAATTGGTGATGGTGGACTCCCTTTCGAAAAACGCGATTCATAGACAGAGAAATTGCAAAGGGATTTGTTCTTGATAATTCAGTGATGATTTTGGCGATAAACTCCTGTTTTAATGTTTTCTCATGTTCTAGCCACTAGTCTGACTACAAGGATAATTTAAGTGACTTAATTGAAAATCGATAATCGGATCTCATGTGCAAATTAGCATCACTAATAAAACGGTAGCTGTATTTTGATGACTTTTAAAAATCAACATAGCTTTTGATTAAAGAATTAAAATCGATAAAGCTCGTTTATTCGATTTTACTCCTATCCTGACGAATTGGTGATGGTTAACTCTATTTCGAAAAAACGTGATCGATGGATAGAGAAATAGCAAAGATAATTGTTCTTGATAAATCAGTAATGATTTTGGCCTTAAACTCTGGTTTTAGTGTTTCAGTTTTGTGAAGACTGTCTTTCACAGGTTCTGGCCAGCGGTTTTATGTTACGTTCGCTAATTTAAATGACCGAATTGAAAATCGATAATCGGATCTCCTGTGCAAATTAGCCTCACCAATAATACGGTAGCGGTCTTTTGATTGGTTTTAACAGTAGAACAAGCTTTTGACTGGAGTCACGACGAAATTTAGCAGTTTAGAGGGTAAATAGTGACCCATTCTGTAAAACATAGACAAACAAGCATAGCAATGTGTTCGTATATCATTTTGCAGATCAATAGCATCACGAACACCTTTCGACCATTCATTAAAACAAACGTCAAAATGTAGTCCGATCTTTCACAATTTTTTTTATAAATTTTCTTTAGACAACCCTCCTTGCGTGCCGGACAAATCATTTCAAGTAAGTTACCTTTACTTAAAGTAATCTAATACTACTCAGACAAAAGTAGTATATATGTACAGTCACCTCTGGTTTATTCATATCGGAGGTAATGTCGTACGTTTTCACTTCTGCCTCGAGACAGAGGTTAGTCTTCCTCTAAGGGTACTGCAATTGTCATCAAAAAACTGATTTTTGGCTGTCCCAAAGTTAACTGTCCTGAGTTACGTTTGTTATTAGTCGTTATGATATACCTCATTACATGGAAGGAAATTCATTCGTAATCAATAATTATTTGTAGGTTAATTAAAAACGATAACAAAAATGGTCAGATTTGGGCTAGGTAATTTAGGCTTGAACCATTTAATCGTCTTCATCGTTCTACGCGCGAACCTTTTTTCCAAAAATTATTCTCTCTCCCTCGTCGTTTTCGAAAATGTTGTTAAAAAAAACAATTCAATTGTGTTTTTAAAAGTGGTGCAGTGGTGAAAGTCAGTTTGTTTGTGTCTGGAAAAATGTCTGTATTACATGGCAACGACCTTGGTGGCTAGGAACTGAATAGAAACATGAGCTTGACAGATTATAAACTGCGCCTCAATAATCAAAGACGACGTAAATGAGCTTTGTTTTGGGGTTATCAATGGCAATTTAGTGGGTTTCGCCTAATATTTTCCCACTATCAGTAATATCGAGCTGTCAAATCGTTGCTTCTTTTCTATTGGTCAGCGATTATACCATCGTGTGTCAATTTGATTGGCCGAATTTGACGTATTAGCTCGACTGATGTACAGCATATGCACTGACAGTAAATTCCTTGTTGATTCACTCACGTTGCAAATTGGCTAAATTCATTGCTCTGCGTCTCTTGTCAGATTATAACTCGTATCTTTTTGAAAAGTGCGGTTTTTTCGCCTTCAAGGTCATAATGGCCTGCTGCCATTGGTCACAGTTTCGATTTGTCCCTGTTCGTCCGATTCACCTCCTAGGTGACAATGAAGCCCAACTATAAAAGTGATTTGTCTTGTGATAGTTGGATCGAAAAATATTCGATGCGTCACCTGCTTCTGCGATCTTCTCTACCAACAGATTTCCTGTCTAACATTCCATTCTGAAATTAGTGATCTAATGTCGTTTTCGCACATTGTTCTACTTGAGAATAGCAGTTACTCAAATCATTTTTCATAGATTTTGAACCGTAAATTTCACACTGTTGAAAATGGTATAACAACCAGTGACCAACCAATTGCCACGGCGCGGTAACTGGTTGTTAGGTCTACTAAAACAAATCTTTGTCTCGGGAAGAAAATTCGTTTACCAGGACGTAATTTACTTGGTACTAAACTGAGTTATGTTTGATAATTGACAGTCAGTTAAAACAAAGTTAGGGTAAGCAGATTTGGGCGCGTTTTTTTTAAAACTGAGGCACATTTGATTTTACCTCCAAATAGCCTTTACAAAGTTAGAATGTTAATCTCCTGTGTTTAAACTTATTTTTTTTACCAAAGATTTCAGATCTAGGGATGGTGGAGGGACAGTCGTCTCAAAGTCAGTAAGCCAGAGTCAACCTGCAAGATTCAATAATCGATTTTAACGATCATTAACGCTTAGCCAATGAAAAATACCGACGCAATACGATCAAATACGAGTGAATTTATCACGAACAGCAAGCAACAATCAGATCTCAACAAAGTTTTATAGCGTCGACGTAATGGTGCTTGCGTTGATGCACCAATTTCCCGCCGATTCATCGGCTACCGCATATTGGCGATCACTGACTCAAGGCTTATCTTTGTATTTAAGTAATTTAAATTAAGAAATCACCCCCAACTGCGGGGAAATAGCGCTTAGATTTTGGCATGATAAATTGCACCATTACAAGAAATTCTATCCAGCTGCTAATCCCTCAAAACTACCCCCACGTGTGTTCAGGTTCTCAAAATTTATGCATGCTTGTACCTCACAGCTGGATCATTGCAACGGCAGCGTTCTTACTGGAAAAATTTTTTTCTAGCCAGCCCAATCCCTCATGTCGTATGTTTCGTCACCAAAACGCCCATTGGCGCTTGATAAAGTCGCGTTTCCGGTGGTACAACTCCCAGAATCACACTAGGGTCGTGTAACACATTGGACTTGTCCATTTAAACACCCGTTATTGGTTGCGTTTGACACACTGCACCTCTTGCTTCAAATTTGTCCAATTTAGCCAGACAAGACAGCCAGAACTAAACCCTTAACCCATGTGCGCACTTGTGCTGTAAACCAGATACAATGTCAAAAATTCGCCTCTGTTATATCAGTAGTATACGTGTGTAGGTCACCGAAATCGACACCTCAGATCACAACCATGAACTGTCCAGATAATCCTTATGTCACACGATCGCAATTTTTCTCATTGTGGGCTAGTAAAAACGGCATGTAACACAGCTACTGACAGGTCCGTAATTGGGTGGGTCTCACTCGAAAGTCGTTATTGTTGATATGGTAACAAAAACGTGGCACCGTTTTTCACAGTAAACTAATATATTAGCGCGTTCCCTGATTGGTGTAAATGTTAACCATGGTGTAGTCGTTGTTTACAAGCACGCATTGATTACAAAATACCGTTCATACACTGATAAAAACAAGGTGGCATGTTGTGAGAACAATGAATTTTAATAGCAGTTTTCACGTGTGACGTTGTAAGGCTATTTACGAAGGTTGGAACTCTTTGGGCCTGAAAAAATTCGCCTAAATCGTGGACCGCAACCGAAAACACGATCACTGCGCTTCCTGCAGTCGGTTGTCATGAGTTGTGTGACAAATGCTCCGTGTCTTCCGTATCGGTGTCAACTTTTAAAAATCCCCCTCTACAACAGGTCAACTAATGTGACCTTGAACTGAACCCTAGTGATCGAACTTACGTGCAACTCACTCCTGCCACGTAAAGAACACTTGCGGACATCCTGTGACCCTCCAAGCGTGAATGCGGAGATTTTCAATTCCCGTAGTACTTACCGGAGCGGGGTTTGATTAAAATGGCTACTCAAATAAAATCAGTAGCCAGAACATATTATGCTATCTTGAATGAAGGAGGAACCCGCCAGAAATCGTTCCCTTTTGCCTAAACTAAAATTAGCCCACTTACATTGCGTCACCACACATTAGGCCTGTGCACATACACGATCGCATCATTTACCAATTACATTATATTAATAAAATACATTATGTGCATGAGAATGTCAAACCAGATCGTTGGGAGTGAGTGAATGCAACGCAGTCTCGTAAGAGCATTCCTTCCTCTACAGAAACCCGTTAAGAGACGGGCTCTACGCAAACGGAGACCGGAGGAGGACCAAATTTACGATGACTCCGACACGTCCTCCTCGTCCACATGCGAAGAAGCCGTCTACGATGCAACCACTGCCAAAGTAGTGGAGTCTGCTGTGCCGAAAGTCGCGGACGAAACACCGCTCGCCGTGTGGACCAATCGCCTCTCGTGCATCGAAGAAAAAAGCTGTCTAACCTCTGGCCTTGACTCATCCAATGACGAGGAAGACATTGTTGTTCACTACGGCGACAATGACGATGAAGAAGAGCGTCAAGAGATCAAGGACGACATTCTGGAGATCAGGGTTGCCCTTCAGACGAACTCCTCCATGCCTATTACCGCGGAAGACGTTGCCGATTTCGATCAAGGTGAGTCATCTTGTTTATGCAACATGCCCGTTGCCTGATTCCTGCTTGTGGCTTGCACCGGCTTTCTCCAACCAATCAGACGTGAGTTACGCTTAATGAACCAATCAGCAGCACTGACCAATCAGAATTTAAAACTGAGTTCCGGGCGTTAATGCTGTCGTCGTGTCTCGCCAGAAATTTACTGTGATGTGAAGTCGCCGTGGTGATGTTTTCAGCCCCAAGGTACACCCCCATAACCGTAGTTGACATCCCCGAAAAAACTTTGGAACGTCGAAAACCGAGGCACTACATTTCCGTCCATGACGATTGCAATTCCTGCAATTCGGGCTACGCCTCTCGACGTGGTATGATGAAGTATTTTCAATCCCTTATGTGTGGTGTAATTGATTTTCGGTTTTTTGTTTATTTTTGAGATCGATTGAATCGATTTTGCTAGATTGCTTTTTGTTGTTTAAAGCAGACGCCAAGCAAGTGTACACCGCGGGTACTTTGAGGCTGAACGCTGTGTCCAGCTTAAAAAGCATTAAAGGCATTTCGATTTGACCTGAGGGAGTGAGGACACCTCTGAGTCCCTTTGGACTCAGCGATACATTCCCTCCTCTTTTAAATTGGAAATTTTCTTCCCTAAAAACACCATTCCTGACTCAAAACGCAGCGCTTAACCTGGAAACTTGAGGTCAAACCCCACAACTCCATTTCAACACAGTGAGGTAGTCCATTTGAGTATTTAAATCCTCGATTGCACTCCTAAGCGTATCACGTTCTTTATTTTGCTATTTTTTGGCAGGTAAAAGCGGACAACTTGACTCATAACCAAGTCTTTACAACCACAGTAACGCCCTTAAGAGGAGCTGAACATGGCACTAACTTAGCCCACCTTACATAATTTACAACAAGCATTATCATCCTCACCTCAACAGGCTTTAGTTCAAAACCTTGCTCTCCTCTAGCTGAGTGTCTTCTTTTTGCTACTGAAAACCTTCATAAAATTGGTTAAATTAAAAGTCAGTCGAATATATTTTGCAGTTTCACTCAAGTCCGGATGTAATTGGTCCAATGAACACTTCGTTTGCAAAGTTGCGTAACTTAAATGTTGGTACATCTACACTCAAGTCATGCACACACCAATGATATCCACGTCCGAATTCAATTGGTCCAATGAACGCTTCGCTTGAAAAATTTTAAATACATTTTAATAGTAGCCATTCACCTCTCTTTCTACCTGTTGATATAACTTGCAGATAAGTGAAAATGACTACCTGAATTCGTTTTGGAAACAGCTAAAGTGGTGTAATGCTTGTTGATAAGGCTTTGGGGCCTTTGTTGCACTAACTTCAAGTTTTCTAAATCCGATCTATGGGAACCACTGCTTAAACATGGCTGTATCCAAGTAATACACATAACGAGGGAATCATTTCGAGTCTCTTCCGCATTTTCTGCGAATTCGGCTTGGAAATGCGTGATAATTGAAGATTAAGATTACTTCCCTCCTTGTAACGCCATCCCGTGATGCTCCAACAACAAAACACCTGCCGCTTTGCCTCCACATAATAAATTGTCGCCTACTAACCATACGGGATCAGGCGATCGATCCGAAAAGCACCAATGACCTTTCAGTCGCCAGTTAAATGCTTCGATCGTGTTTGGAGAGGACCAATTGGATTGGTAGATCGGTGGTTCTCTTGCGACCGCGCTCGGGTGTCCTTACAGTACCTCTACACACTTTTTAGACTCAGAGGAGCCACACGACATGGTTGTGTGAGTTAAGGCCCCAGAGTTCACTAACACGTGTTTTCTCAGCATCGTCACAGGTGACTCTCAAAATTGCAGTGATGACGATAAAAAGGTGGTGTTTCTTTTCAAATACCCTAATGCTAAAGTGCAAATGCTTACTTCTGTTTTTTGGGGGGATTTTTACCTACCATGGGACTAATTCACCGATAGCGTGACTTTCCAATTTCGCTGTCATTTTTGACAGTTCAAAAGCTGCGGGGCAATCTGCTTCAACTCAATTAAATCAGCTTTTAGTGGCAATAACACCCATAAAATCAGTGATTTTTCTTAAGAAATGTTTATCTTAGTACCCATAATAGTCCGGTTTTGTGAATAGTAAGAATTTACGTGTTATCGCGAGGGGAACAGTGACAACTGATAGAAAATGGCATTTACTGATGAGATGCAATTACGGTTTTGTGTGTTAGTCTAAACCACGTTGAGGAGAGCGTTCGTTTGGGGTATTTTGGCCATTATTGACGCCTAACCCCGGCGTCATTCGTAAATGTGATAAATCAACGAGGCATATTCACTTTTGCTAAATGTGGCATGTGAAGTTTAGTGCAAAAATCCTCTTGGTCCATCCACATCTAGTTTCGCAATGTTCGATAATTAATCGATACATTCGAATAAGTTCAGAACAGTCTGCATGTGTCAAAATACTTGATGGCGTCAACAAAACAAATGTTGAATGTGTGAGCCGGCATCAGGAACGTCAGCTTCACAACTGACGTCCCGTTTTTAACTTCCACACACAACCTCCAACACCTTTCGCGAGGAGGCTTGTTGTTTTTGCCGTTCGATACTGCGCACCTTCCAAAATTTTCTTTCTTAAATCGGTCATGATTGTCCCCTTCTTGTACCCCTTTTTTCCATTCCCTGCAGCTTTACAGAAGAAGATGTGTCAAGTCTAGCTTCGACGCCGCAGTGTCCCCACAACAAAAAACACCGTGGCGCGAAATATAATGCGACTTTTTTTGGCAAAAAAATTCAAGAAACTGCAAAAGGCACGGCTATGGCTGACCTAGTGGCAACGGCTTCAATCAAAATCAGAGTTGAGGTTATGAGGCTAGGTGAAATCTGGGAGAAACGTTGATTTGGCATTGTTTTTGCCGCGAACCCCGACCTCACACCTCTGTGTGTACTTTAGTTACCCGTGGGTTTTGAAGTGCCTGGAATCTGCACTTAAACCGATGCGATTGGATGCCGTACAATGTGGTTTGATGCAATTTAAAGCTGACGAGGCGCTTAGCCCATTAAAACAGGTTATAAACGGTGGCGTAACGAAATGACACGAGGGTATTTCATCAGTTAAATTCTACCACTCCAATCTTCATCCTTCAAAGTTCGATGTTTTTGATTTCTGTCCCGTACACACTAGAAATACCAGCAAACCATCAATTGCGTTTCCTTCTGTGAACACTTTAATCTTATTGGACCCGTTAGTCGATTTATCGATTTTTGGATGCTAAAATTGGCTAGTCATAAATGCAGTCTGCAGATCGCAATGCCATTACATCACGTATTCGTATTTTTTTGCAATGACAACCGCTGCTGTCTGATGCAGGGCAACTGTTTTCCCCACAACAATCTCTGGGTGGGGCACTTCCGGATCGCCGTGGCTGAGTCACGTGGAATGCCCGATTCTAATTGGATCGCATCCCACTGCATTCTGATTGGTAGATGCACCTTTACGTGTGCGCCAATGAGACCTACGCCTAGATCCGGTTCGTGTCAAAAGCCAAATGCGTTTTTTTGTGGAACGGAAGTGCTTGTTTGGCTTTTTCAAGTTTTTTTGCGAAATTATAACATTTCTAAAATAGCCAATTAAGAACAGTTACAGGGATAAACTTCGATGATGGTTCCTATTGGTCAGTCAATCTAGTACGAGTCATTTTGGCACTCTGGAAACCCCTTCTTTTCCCGTGATTTCTGCCCCATCAAATTGAAGTAAAAGCCGTCGACAAATTCAAGTAGTTTATTCCTTTTTTCATAGGAGCTCCAAAATTTACCCTTCCAAAATTGTCCTCCTCAAAAATATCGGGTCTGACATACAAATTTTTGCATTCACCTGATTTCAGAATAGCACTTTTAATGCGCCCAGGTCTTCGGAATTATTCATGGCCAAGGCGCCGTCCAGTGCGTCTTTTAATTATGCATGGCCGGCTCCATTGTGTTTTTGATAGCCACTGTGACTAGTCCACTATCTTGATTGCTCCTTGCGTTGCATTTAATGCTTATTTTTTTCGCATCACATATTGTAATTAAACTGGTTCCGATACAAGCCTTAAATTTCCATCCTTCGTGTTACGGTGTTCTTAAATCATTTTTAAATATGCGTGTGCAGTGCATTGATTTCTAATGAACTTGGATATCTGGTTTTTTTGTCCTTGCTTTGGTTGGTTTTTGTGGAATTTATTGGTTTTTTTTAACACCACGTAACACTCAACAGCCTCTGTTTTCTAAGTCATTCACTCCAAAAGGAATTCTCTCGAAGGGTCTGTTGTGAAATTTGGAGAACCCTTCAGCACGTCGGGTTCATCAATTGTTCTGGGCCCCAGCGTGTGGTCTTGAACCACACCGGGGCCAGTAAATTAACTCTGGCCCGATTATGCTTCCCTGATTACCACGATGATGAAAAAGATCGGAGAGGACGTGGACACAACCGTTCGCTTCAGAGGTTAACCACGTTGGCGTCGTTGTGTCGTGGGTGGCATTTGCGCGTGTGTATTTATACCAACATCGAGACCTAGGTGTGAGGATAATCCAGGATAGACGTTCGTGCGAATGAAGGAGTAGTTGAGGATCCGCGCGGCTGGCGACATGCTGG